TTTGTTGACCCTGTATCCAAATTAATCAAACTGCTATAGCATATACAAAAGCAGATTCTGTAGATCAATTCCACTGAGAAATCTATCAAAAAATAGCAGGTAGTGGTCATCCAGTGACAACTATCTGCAGGAAGATCAAGGAATAGTTTTTTTTTTTGTTTTTTTTTTTTTTTTTTTTTTTTTTGTCCAAAGACGTAGCCTAGATTCAAAATAAAGGCAGTGAATAGAATTTGAAACTAAAGACGAGGGTAGTAACCCATAAACTGAACATGCATTTTAATGGAGCAGTGATGACATTAAGGAGTTGAACCCCCAAGAAGTCGCTTGACTGTATGAGTGAAAACAAATTTCCTGAACATGAAAGTAGGCTGAGTATCGGTTAATATTTTCCAGCTACTCTTTGGTTGAAACATCTGAAGAACTGGATGTGTGTGTGTTCTTCAAGAGAGGCAAAAACTCCTATCTGAAAACCTCTAACTTTGTGTGTATTTATAGCATGGTTGTTGTACAGTTGAATAGCCATCTGGGCCTCACAACAGTAGATAGATAAAGTAAAACAAAGGCTGTGAAACAACACGCTGAGCTCTGAGTTATTTCACTGCTGCTTCATGCCCTATGCTCCTCTCAGCATGTCCCCAAGTCAGCTAAAAAAAAACAGCGTGCTTGTTGTCAGCAGTAAGAATTGGATGGATTGCATTTGCATGTGCCATGTGAATTCTTTCTGGTTGCATGCATCCAGCTCAGACTCTGTCCCCTTGCTTCTTTGTGTTAGGATCCATTCCCTGAGAAGCCTGGTAATTACAGAAAATGAGCCGTTCTGGCAGAAATTGGAGATAATTGTTTTGCACGTTGCAGTGAGACTCCGAGTGTCACTCAAGCATTACTACGTTGGCCTGAAACTACTGTAGGTATGTGTACTGAGACACCAGTTGTTGCAGAAAATTATTTGTATCTTGAGCATTTCCTGGACAGTTCTTGATTTGTCCTTGCAATGTAGAGCATGTTCCCTTTATTCATGCGTCATGCATAGCAGGATGTATACTTTTTCCTATTATGTAGGCGTCCATAGAGAAAATTCTGATCTAGGATATCTCCAACCTTTTTTTTAAAATTATTATTATTATTATTATTTTATTTTTGTGCTTTCGGCTTCCTGTGTTTAAAACCACCTTTGTGATTCTATAATCCTTCCTCCACACCAGTGACTTAGCCTGGCGTAAGAGCTCAAAATAAGGCAATGCACCATTCCTCCCTCCTCTCCGTTAGCCCATTTTTCTCTGTCCTTTCATTCTCCCTTTCTGATCTGCTGTGTTTGAGTACCAGAGGTCATAAAGCTTTGGACAAGGCAAAGGCCCCAGCCAGGCTGATGTGCTGACTGGGGGGATATGAGGCTTGACTTTGGGGCAGTGTGAAAGATCCAGGCCTGTCTTGTTTGTCTGTCTGTCCGTCTCGCTGGCTACACTATAATGAGATTGCAGGGTTCTGTAAGGCGGATTTACTGGAGCACAACTCCCCCTAGGGCCTTTTCATAGAAATTGGTTCCTCCATATTTCACCCAAGCTTCTCACTCTCTCTCTCCGGCTTTGTCAAATGTGTCTATCTTTCCCCCCTCACACCCTCTCTCTTTCTAAAACCTCTGATGTTCGCTCCCACTTTTGTTAATTATGATACGCTGCTTTCCTTTCTTTCTGAGGGGAAAGATTGAAACTTTCCATAAAGCACAAAGCTTATCGAAAAGCGGGGAGAAAGAATGACACAATGAGAGAGAAAGTGGGATGTAGGATTTGGGCTGGGATGTGGCACCAATACCCTATCGCGAGGCCTCTCCACATTATCTCCCCTTCAAGATGGCCACATTCATTTTGATGGCCTCTCTCGACTCCATGTGGAATCCCATAAACATGCATGAATGCATACATGCAACTGTGACGAGGATATTTTCCTAGCGGCTGTTGAAACAGTTCCAGTTTTTTATTGTCTCCCAGTTACTTTGCTGCAAATTGAAAGCCAAGGTCATAAAGCCCATGCACGTTTTTTTTACAGCATGTATGCAAAGCATTTCGCAGAAATGTTTTCTGTTGGTTTACACTACTGATGTTTACACACATGGTGGGGTCTCGCAGTCCAGCCAGCCCAGCTGTGCACATTGAGAATGGGGCCAATTCAAATACAAACTTGCATCAAGCCAGCCTTTTTTTCAAGAGGTGCTACGTTATCCTCTTCATTATACCAAAGCACTTCTACCTAAAAACAAATAGTTTTTTTCATATTATTCCCAATATCAGCACAATACCATTCATTTTACGCTACCCACGGATGTGCAGCCATTATTCACCCGTAAGGCTCCTCATCAAATTGTGAAGGAACACTGGATGAATATTTTCAACTTTCCTGGGTCATGTAAACACTTGCGTGCACATAATCAACAGCTTAGGCAGCAGAACATGAGAAATACGGTAAGATGAGCCCACCTACTCAGCAGTGAGCTAAGCCCCAGGCTGCTAATTGGTATGGGGGCACTGATTGCAGAGGCTTGCGTAAAGCGCTGCAGGGAGATTGTGGGTAAAGGTTTCCCAGCAGACCCCTGTGCCACCACCAAACATTAACTTGCACCATTAGGTCCAACCAGCTGCGCTTACACACATGGTCTGGGTATTCTCACTCCCCAGAGTTCTTATCACTGAAAAGCTTTCTCTCCCTTTTTCTGACATCCAAACCAATGTCGGCGGGGAGCCCACAAGATGAATGACCCTGCAAATGCGACATTAAAAAGTCATAAACGGGAATACCTTCAGGCTCAGGAGTTCCTCAGTGAGGGGGTGGCCCATATATATATATATATTTTTTTTTTTTTTCAGTTCATTTTTTTTTTTTTGCTTACTAATGCTTGAACTGCTAAGAACAGGTGGATCAAGGCAAAAGAAGTACCACAGTAATTTATTATGTCACTCTTGTGTTACAAAATAGACTGAGAAGCATTTTCAACATGTGTTCAAACTTTGAGGTCCTAGATCTTTAACCTGGAGATTCCCAAAAATGTTGCCAACATTTCTAAATCTAGCATGTGCTTTAACAGTCAGAAAGTGAAGAATCAAACCGATGAAACAAATCAGATTTTTTGTACATTCACCTTTCTTGATATTGACTAAAGTCCTCTTACAGTCAATTCTCTTCTTCACTAATTAAATGAAATGTCCTAGTACTAATTGCATTACTAATTGCAGTTTTGTGACAGAAGTCTATCCATGATAGCAGCCTTAATGAAAATACCGTTTCATTTTCATGAAGTTTTTTCAGGTTTTGCACTTATTCTCACTCACTCTACTAAAACTGAGAATAGCTTTTATTTTTATCCCCATTGCAGCAACATCACTGAAAAGAATTGTCACCAGTATGACATGATGTAGTTTGGGTATGGGAATCTGAGAAACTATTAGCTTTTTTTGTTTGTTTGTTTTTGTTTTAGTTTATGACTGGTCAGCCATAAGCCATGACAAGTCAAACTGGAAATAGGCCAAATCAGGTTCAGGTCAGAGTTAATCTAAAATTATTTTTTTGTTTGTTTGTTTTTTGTTTCATGCAAAGCAAAGAAACTTTTTTTTTTTAATTTTGATTAAAGTGGTTAACTATTAACTTTCAAAGTTAAGACAGAATTTGAACAACACTTTAGAAACTGTTGACAACTGTGCAGACAAGAGAAGATGGTCTCTTTTCGGCTGTTCTTTTCCACTGTGTCCTTCATCAGCACTGACTCATTGGTTTCAAAGTGCATTGCTGACATTTTCATTGGCCCAGAGATCACTTATGGGGCAGGGTGTTGGCTCCTGTGAGGTTGGACCAGTAAACAAGTGGACAGGGGCCCAATGAGGGCTGGCCTTCTGAGGAACATTTGACAGCCCATAATTATGTCTACTGCATACAAAGGCATTTTCACTGTCAGTATGTCCAGACTGAGTCAAACAGTAGATGCAGAGATCTCAAAAAAACATCTTATGAATCCCATGTATGATGTTTACCTATTATCTGCTTCACGTTTCAATCCCAGAGAAGACGATGATGTGAAATTTTGATATATTTTATTTTCAGAACTACCTAAGTTGATAGGTGATTTGGTATTTAACTAAAAGATAGGCCGCTAAGTGTAATGTCATGTATCCAAAAATAGACATCACAATTGTGCGTTTAAGAATAGCTGGGCTCTGCAGTATTGTGCACTCTATTGTACATGTTGGAGGGAGGCAAATACCTCACAAATGCACTACCCCTTCTGGATGTTGAGTATCGCACAGTAACACACACACACAATTCATAATTTCAGGTTCCAGCTAACCCCAGTGACGCCTTTGATTAATTCTACTGAAGCCCACGAGGCTGTCCAGTATCCGCCAGTAAATTAGCCTTGGATATCCTCCATAAGTCCTCTCTCTCTGGTCAGTGCCTGAAGTCACCATCATGTGCACGCACTCTTCAAATTCACTGTAATGGAGACTTTAACTTTGAATAATGTGGAGGGTTTGTGCATATGTGTGTGAGGTGTTGTGCTTGTTTCTTACCTGTGTAAATGCTTCCTAAAATCATGGCCAGATCTGGTTGAATCTTCCAACTGGCTCCACCTTGATATTAGTTCTTAGTAGGAATATGTGTATGCGATGGCAGAATGCCAGACCACATGCTACTCAGAACTTCAGCTAATGATGAAATGTTTCTATTACATTTGTTGAACCACTTACACTGATACTAATCTTCTGTAAATAAATTTTTTGGGCCTTTTATTGTCCTCTATAAAAACGTGAATAGCATATTGCTTCTCATCATGTAATCTATTTAGGTCCTCTAACAAATCTCTGTTTGCATCTTTGATTGCATTTTTCTATCTCTGTGGTTTCTTTGATGAAACAACCTGCCTCTCTAGGGCTAGGCCACTGTTCTGATCGGACACTGCTTGTTTTTTTTGTTTGTTTTTTTTTTTCTCACCTCTTCATTTCTTCTCTCTTCCACAGTTCTGTTCGGTCTGCTGTCAGTGGGTGCCCAGACAGAGATGAAGAAGGTTGTTGGGGACAATGCCACTTTACCGTGCCACCACCAGTTTCCAGCTTCCAGCCCTCTTGACATTGAGTGGTTGCTGCAGAAACCTAACTCAAAGCAGAAAGTGGTAAGGTTTCTTAGTCTGTATTCTGTATGGCTTTCTCTTGCTACTGCATCTTACAGGATGGTTAAAAATATGGTAACACCTTATTTGAAGGTGCATAAGACTGGCATGACACAGTCAAAAACATGATATAACACCTGTGATGTACATGAAATGTGCTTGTTTTTTTTATTATCAATGTCAACAGCAAGGGGTGCTACTCTGCCAGAGTGACCCCTGGCGTGACCTATTTATCTTATTTGTTTTTATCTATCTTTGAACGTATGTTCTTTCACATGAAACCCTGCTGAAGGTGGTGTGGTGTGCCCTTGGTCTCTGTGTCCATGGCTGGATCTGTGATATCAAAATGAAAAGTCCTGACCACCATGTTTATGAACAGGACAGTCCAATGGCTTTCCCATGTTTTAATTTTGATAGATCAGTCTGGAAGAATTTTCCAATGCAAAACATTTTATATTAGCAATACTACCTGAAAATGTTATTGAAAGCACTACAGGCTACATGCACAGCCATTTGAAACTGTACTACTTACTGAACTCAACAAATACATTAAGTTATACAGAATATGTGTGCTTCAAATTTTACTGTGCACAAATGTAAAAAATATCATGTGGAAGCTGAGGTTCACTTGAGTGAAACTGTTCAATTTGGTAAACATTTTGACAATAGACAAGAGATAAAGAATTTCTTAAAATTGACAGATTTTGACAACCACAACATTTTTGATAGTAATGACTCAAGCAATGAAATAAGGACTGTTGGTTTTCAAGTTTTGTTTAGTTTAATAGATGTACTTACTAGCTTTTAGCAACTCCACAGTAAATGGAAAAATATATTTTCTAGATGATGAACAACAAAAAAACATATCTTCTCAAAGAGGAGTCTTTAATTGTCCTTAAATGAGAACAACTGTAAACATTTTCTGACGTTTTCTGTTGGCGCAAAGGTTATTTCATTCAAAAATTATAAACAAATTGTAACTGTACAAAGCAAATTAATCCAGAAATGACTTTTTGCTATTTAGAATGGAACACGTGAAATAGAATTGCCATAAAATGAGGTGTTTCACGTGATCAAATTAAATTAAACTGATTTGGTCCTAAAATTGTTTATGTTGGCATTGCAGTTTTCTTCCTGCAAAGTGGCAGGGAGATTTTGCTGAATTTATTCACAGCTTTTAACATCAACATTAATGTTATGCTGCAAACTTTTAAGAATTTTTCACATTGGAAAAAGTAAATAGGAATTGTGGGAAACAGCAAAAATTAATGGGAAACTATTAATTATTTCAACATTATATATTTAAGTATAAATATATTTAATTAAAAATATATGTATTCCATTATATAATGAAAAGCTTACTTCTCAGATAATCAGACTGAGCTGATTTACTCATAATCAATCTCTTTCAACTGTATTTGGAAAATTATTGGCTCATTAAATGGTAAATCAAAGAAAAATTTGTGCTTTTTGTGTATATTCTTTGGCTTTCCTCAGTTTTATGGTTTTTCAGTTTGAAACTTCCCACTTTTTAAATCAAATTAAGTTAATGTATTGCCTTAACAACTTGTTTTTGTTACTTTTTATAAAATTTTTACAACTTTTGTGGTATTTGTTTGCGTAACTACAATGAAAAAAGCACACAATAACAACAACAACAACAAAAAAACTACAAAACTGCAGAGTGGAAAACTGGAATCTGGAGCAGAAAAATGAAGCATGTGTTTAAACAAAGAGAAAAACATCAAATGTTACATTTTAATGATCTCAGAAAAAGGCTGCCATATTGCAATGAATATTTAAAAGGATGAAAACAATGAAGGCACCATTAATTAAAATCAAACATCCAAAGATGTGATTATGACACCGCGTGTGCAGCTGAATAAATGAATCATTCTTTTTTTTTTTCTGCTGAAAGGCAGTATTTGGGAGGAAGGGCTGGGCATTTGTCAACATTTAGACACTATTTTGCAAGAGAAGAGATACATGCATTAATGTCTGTGAACACTGAAGTTGTCAGACCTTTGGAAGATTTGCATTTATTGTCATTCAAGTTTGTTTCTGATGGGAAAAGAGACAAACTGGAAAAAGCTGATAAATGTTTCATCTGATTTTATTAAAATATGGCATGTTGAAAATTGTTTATACTTTTGTCAGTAATGGTAAAAATATGTATTGCCATTATAACAATCAAGAACTTCTTGTAATCTCAAGTAAACAAAATCATATGTAGATTTATTATCCTCCACTGAAAGAAGGACTCTTAAAACAATTGTGAATCTTAGCCAGATTCAAAACAAACTAAACTAGAACTAAAATTCCAGTTTAGTTCTCAGTTGATAGGTGGAAATTCCCCAGCTGTGACTCATGTTGAATAAGCTTGTTTTAGATCTGAGTTATGCAATGTCATCCACAGCCACTGACACGTGGAATAAAATATTCAATAAATGAAACACAAAAGGGGGAACAAAATAGAAAAATGATAGTCTCATTTTTGTTCTTTTGGAGGTGAATGCAAGATTAATATATGACATTTGTTCATTTCACATTTATTTTAATTAAACCTGAAGAATACATTAAGGAGTTTGGGGGGATATCTCATCATGTATTTAAGTTCGTGCTGAATAAACAAACCACCTCGTTTTAATTGGAAACTTTACCCACAGCCTGTGGTCATTTTGCTCAATTTTCCCACAATTCCTCACACTCATGAGTACTTTCCGTGTCTCTGTCCCATAAGAGTGTTTGCAGTATACACCCAGACATAACCAGAGGCCTAAATACACATAGTCATATGGTGCAGCCTGCACTCACATATGTATGAGTAATAAATGCCCAAAGTACATAAAAAAGTGCCCATAGGCAAATATCTGTAAAACATTCTTTTTATGGTGCCAAGGCTGTTCACGTTTGCACCGTAATGTACATCTTGTTGCATTCATGGAGGGTGTCCTTATAATCTGCTGCGTGTGAAGTCTAGGTATATGCATGTGTAAGTGGCCAGTGGTCACCTGTGGTCCCAGCAGGTGCCCCCATTTCTTTGGGCACTGATGTGCTGTGGCACCGGCATTTAGCAGCCCCCCATCTGCAGGCTCTCACTTGCCCTGAGTAATAGGCCACTGTGACAGCTGCGTTTGTTTCTGCTTGTGCATGTGGAGAGAGCGTAAGAGAAAAAGGAGAGGAACATGTGTATTCTAAGCTGAGAAAGAAAAAAGAAAAACTTTGAAAATAAATGACCATGCTTACAGTGAAATTATCCATCATATTTATTTATTTTTAACAACTTTTGACTGTATAGTAAAATAAACTAAAGCTTTAATATTCTTACAAGCCAAGTGCAATGTTTTGTCATCTGAAAATACAGCGTTGCATTATGCAGTGGACTGTGCTTCTGTGTGGCTTTTAATTCTGTGCCAACACCTAATTTGTGCCACAGTGGGTACTTTAATCTTTTATCAGCAAACCAAATAGATTTTTCTGTCTTTTTGTATGATCAGTTTGACAGCTTTGCTTGTACAAAGGCCATAAGGAGATAGTAGTCCTCATAGATAACCAGCTGAATGCACTGTAGCATCACAGCAAATGCATTCATCGGTGAAATATTCTATCTATCCCAGGGGTTAATTAGAAAATAATCGTTAGCATTGCTATTCATACTGTAAGTACTGGAACGGTGAATTTTCCAGCATTGTGAGTAGACAGTGAGGCAACACTACGCTTATGTACCAGTCGTTCACGTACGAGCTTTGGAGTTATGGAAGTTTTAATGTTGCTGTCTGCAGTTAAATAGATTGAGGATGTTCTTTGTGAGACATAAAAGTCTACTAAGGCAAATTTACTTCTAAGTAGCATGAATTGGAGTAACGTTCGGAATGATAAAATAACAGATATTTCAGACGTAAATGCAAGATCCAAAAAGAATCTGTTTTGTTTTTTAATTAGGAACAAGAGTTTTTAGAAAGGAGCAGGGCAGATCTGATTTTAGTCTTTGCATAAGCTTGTTTCAGACAAATCAGAAATAAACATTTCACAGTCAAATTTAGAAGAATTTCAAATAAATTCCCATTACTTATATAGTCAATCCACAACACCATCTACACTCAATTTACATAAAAAGTTATTTCATTTCATTTACACTTACATTTCAGTTGAAGCTAGCTGTGAAACACTTCGGTTTATTATTTGAAGAGTTTAAAAAGGTTTTCTAAGGAAACTCAGCAGATTGCACTCACTACTCCTGGTTAAGCATTTCATGAAAGTAGTCAAAGTCTTCCATTGTGTCGTTGATTTTACTGCAGTCCCTCATCCATGTGGCAACAGTGGAGAGGAAAAATTGGCTCAGTACAAGCGGCCATCTGCACCGACTAACGGGGGGCTTGAGGAGACAGAGCAGACACACAAAAAGAAACAGAAGAGCTGATGTAGGAATACTTTCTATGTTAATGAAATGTAAAAAGTTAATAGCAGAAGAGGAAGAATGTCTAGTTGTTGGCAGCATTATCTCAGCCTATTGCCCCCTCCAGGAAAGTATCGCAGTTGCATGGAACGCCAAACCAGATGTAGCTTCTATGGAGAGAAAAAAAAAAAAAAAACTGAGAGAAAACAAAGTTAACATACAGTTGAAATAACAGAAAAGTAAATTACATCTTCTTTCCCACATCCAGATCATTACTTTCTTCGGAGGACAGGTCTACACTAACGAGGCCGTTGGCAGTGACAACAGCCGCTTGTCCTTCGCCGGGGAGTACCTGGGCGGCGACGCCTCCCTGCTGATCAGTGACCTGCTGCTGACCGACTCCGGGGATTACTCCTGTAAAGTCAAGACTGGGGGAAAGTACCACTGGAGCCAGGTCAACCTCATTGTTCTGGGTAAGGGTTTTCAGAGATACTCTCATAGTGAGCATACAAGCAAATAAATGCAGATGACAAATTCACTCAGAAGAATTCACACTCAGATCCTCAGACATGCCATCAGGTTATGAGGGAACTCATTTGGACTGAAAATACACAAAGATTATCAAACACATACACATGTAGGCCTAATCAGAAGATCATTAGCCTGGCACATTTCCTCCATCATGCTGACTGATCTAATGATTCAATTTGATGCAGACTGTGTGATTTGATTTTCCTTATGCTGTTTGGGTCCGTTTGGAATGGTTTCTTGATGAGGTGAGACGGAAAAACATTGAAGGACATAGAAATGGGCTCGGGAAGATGAACTCAGGGACCGAGTAACACAGGCAGATATGCTGGTGAATTCAAAAATACTTAACATCCCCTGTTAGACAAATGAAACAACAATCTGAAAAGGCATTTGCTCCCGAAATGATTCTCTGTTTTTTCACTATATTCTTTGTAGCCAAGATGCCAAGTATACAGACAATGCCATTTTCAAATAATGATTGCATTTCTAAGAGAAAAATTAAGGAAACTGACCTGTGTAAAATATTGACTGTCCCGTAAATCCTGAAGTTGATTTTGACAATCTTTGGCAGCAACTATAATAATTGTAATAATTTCTTTTGGAGGCATTTCCCCTCACTCTTTTTGCAGAGCTCATCCTGAATGGAGAGTTTTTGAGCATAAACCAGATTTTTTAAAGTCACATCTTTATCCAATATTAAACATTTATTATCTTATGGATTTAAGTATGACCAAAAAAAGCTGAAGAGGGCAAATGCATTTTCACAGAACTATAACATGGATTTTTCTCAGTTTGCGATACTTTGTGTAAATTAAATTTACTCCTTGCTAATACCGCACATGTTTTATGCCTGGACCACAGATATAGCTCACGGTGTTCAAGAACATCAAAAGAGGAGGAGCTCTGCCACATGAGCCTGACACAAAGTCTGGTGGGAGGAGCAAGATTGTTCTGTGTCAGAAAAGTGTCAGAAAAGCGGGCGAATTAATATAAAACATCACGGGAGATTAGTTCAACCAGACGTTATTGGTTTTCTAATGGAGCAATCTGTTAATCCTCTCGCTCTCACTCTCCTCTCACTTCCATGAAGATATTGTGGTGACTTAGAGCCTCAATTTTCACAAATTGCCTTCAGCTCTGCGTCGACACTTTTGCTTCCAAGAGGGACAAACGTCTGAGATCCTGCTCCCGCTCCCCCGCGTTCGGATAATAACTTGTAACTGGCTTGGCATGAAGCGGTAAATGTCAGTGGTTGCATTTGTTTGCTTGCCAGTGCATATAGCATCATATGCAAACTTGGTCACTCATGCCAAGGAATTTACTCTCTGCTTGACGGAATGTTGGAATTTTCATGTGCAGATTTTGGACTTTAGAAGCGAAATGGATTGATGGTTCAAGTTTAGTAAACTTTTTTTTTTTTTTAAGGGACTTCTGCTGCGGTTCAGTCTTACTCACCATGACAGAGCTGACAGATGCTCAGTGCTCTGCAATCAGCCGCTCTCGTTATATTGCTCACAGAGCGTGTGAGCCAATGCCATTCTGCTTCTGACATACTCTCGAATTATGTTACCATGTCAGAGTTACTTATTCTCCAACTTTGCTCACAAGCAAGCACATGCGACTTCACATGGCTAATTTGACGGTTGCACAAAACACAAAACAGATATATAAATTTAGTCGACCAATCATCTAAAATTATGTCACTAGAGAGGGAGACAACTGTGCTCCATTTTCTTTTTATAGTGAAGCCGTGCCTCACAGCAAGAATCTAAGCAGAGCAGCTGTACAGGTCTCAGCAGGGCTGCAGCTATACTGCTCTGTGCCTCCAGCTGTGGCAGACTATGACCAAAACTATTGACCTGTGGAAAAAATGGTACTACACGCATTCATGGCCTGGTCTGGGGCCCCGTTTGTCCATTCCCTGCAGAAAGCCATTTTTTTATTGTGTCACCAGTTTGCAGAAAGCAAACAGAAAATGGCCAACTAACTTTAAAAAGACTACATCTTATGTTTTAAAATACCTACCATAATAGTACCCACCATAGTGACTGGTGTTGCCTTATTGGAATGTAAAAAAAAAAAAAAAATCTTTAAAAAGTGATGATGAACCTCAGATGTCACAATCGACCTCCTTTGTTATCTTGGTCGCTATGCGTGAGGGCATAGTTGACCAAAGTCCTCATCCAGCTGCATTTATTAAATATTGCTCTGACTGTAGTTATGGAGACATTTAAGCAAGTTGTTTTCTTGCAGTGATTGTCTGACATTATGCGCTTCACTTAAGGGGTATTCTTTCCTCTTTTTACCATTTTGAAGAACTGTGAACTCATTTCTGCTTATACATATGTTACAATCCCACCCTAAAATTCCTAAAGTAAATTCTGGCACTGGGCTTTAACATAAAACTAAAAAGTAATCCGAACAGTTGAGTAACAAAAGTATAATTTATTTTACAATCCAGATAAAAACAACTAATACAGGAGAAAAGAAAACACAGGGGAGCTTAAGACTTCAGGGTCTCCAAGGCCAAAATAATAAACAAAACACCCCCTTATAACTATAAAATAAAACAACCACTTGCTAAAGGAGAACTAAAGGAAAATACAAAACCTAAACTCCCTTACTAACAAAAAACAGGAGAAAACAGGTTATAACAGAAATGGCAGAGAACCCCTACCAGCTTCCACCTCTGGATAATTGTACCAAGTTGCTCACAGCAAACTTAAGACAGTTCACACACACAGCTCTCAAGCAGAGTCACAGCTCATGGCCCAGGTCAAACAAAAGGAGAGGGCTCTGGCATCTCCAGCTTGCTGCTTATATATGGCGGCTGACGAGCCCCAACACACTTCACCTGCAGCAATCAGGCAGAGCTGAAACAGAAAACACAGAGCTCTCTCAAAAAAAGAGAGCCCCTAGAGGTCAGTGACCGTAAGAACATACACAACGACTTACTGGACAGTTATAAAGCTACCCAATGTTGAGATGTATCCAAATGTTGCCATCATATAGATATCTGCAAAAACCCTAATAAGAGGCAGCGGACTGTAAAGTCTGTAATTACTTGTCCATTTAGCTAGATCAAACTACTACCATACTTTGTTGTGGAGAATTAGCTTTCTCTACTGTACATTTTCATGTTTTTCTTATTTACAATCACAAAAATACAGTGTGCGGTTGTGTGTGTGTGTGTGTGTGTGTGTGTGTGTGTGTGTGTGGGTGTGTGTGTGTGTGTGTGTGTGTGTGTGTGTGGGAGGAGGGGTGAGGGGTGTGTATGCGTGGGGGGGAATTTATAATTTTGTTGTCTTTTAATAGAGGTCCAGCCAAGGACTGGGTTTACAAATTAGCCTGTGGCTAGAAAACCTTTCCCCAAAACAACGGTTGCTTTGTTTCTCACATGTAACATTGTTTAATGAGTTGTCCTTGATGAACTCAATTTGAATTCAATTCAGTTGAAACGCTATGTCTTAAGCAGATGGAGAAAACTGTGGGCTTCAGCACTTTCTCTACTGCTCCTGGAGCTGTGTCTACCTGCCCTTTGCCGCTGTAGGGTGCTGAGGGTTGCAAGTTTTCCACCATTCTCAACATTCTAACAATTTTGCACTTTCAGGTGACAAATTGTTGAAGGTCATAAAAACACAGGGGCCTGTTTCAGCAATGTGCCCTGTCTGCTTTAATGTTACAAGATGTCTTGATCAAATAGTCAATAACACAACTGGGATTCCCTCTTGAGATATCCTGGTTGTGGAGCAAAACTACCCTGGCTCATGTAAGCAGGCAGCTTCCCCAATTGGTAATAAATGAAAAAAAAAAAAAAACATTGTAATTTTTCTTATTTTCAACAGAAACCTTAGTATTATAAGAAGTGTGCAATCTTTTGAGAACTGTATCTGCTATTTTTAACATTAAAAGAGAAATAATTTTGTTTTCTCTGTGGCACATTTTTTTTGTTTGTTTTTTGGTTTCCCACAGAAAAGCCCTCCAAGCCAAGGTGCCGGATGGATGGAACACTCTTGGAGGGCAAGGATGTCAAGCTGAGCTGTAAATCCAGCGATGGTTCAGACCCCATTAGCTACAAGTGGGAGCGAGTGCTTGACAAAGGGAAGAGTTTGGGCAAGCTTCCAAACTTGGCACTGATAGGTAAGAAAAATAATGCTTTAGAAAGACTTTTAAAGAGAGAGAGAGAGAGAGAGAGAGAGAGATAACACTACAATGACATGATGTGCTGATTTACGATCCAGTTCCCCTTCACAGAAATGCTATGATAATTAATTTTTATATTGATGACTTTTTTTTCTTTTTTTATTGCTGCATTAGTCCCAGAGAGATTTCTTCAAAGTACACCACTGTAAACCTGCCTCCTTTATTATTTTAAACATCTAAATCTACTGAGGCAAATCTCATTTTCCTATTGTAGATCCTTTAGATGCTTGACAAGAATTATTAACAGTTGCAACAGTTGACTCAAGGGAACATGCGTTTATTTTTTTTTTCCAGTTTCATCCACTGATACTTCAATCAGTTAATATGCTTGGATTGTTCTGATTCTCTCCCCACACACAAGCAATAAGCCTAAAACCATGAAAATGAGTTCTATTTATTCTTTTCCAGGAAATCAAACGGCACAACATTGTGATTTGTGGTTTTATTCTGTCAGAATTACGTGCATCATTACGAGAATTTGTGCTGAAACCGGGCTTAGTGAATTTGAAATGTCAAGCCGCCTCAAGTCAATCACAGTTGCGAGCATTAAAGCAGTGTGTGCATTTTCTGGGAGTGAAGCTGAAGTGGAAAAAAAACAATCAAATCCAATACACTGAAAGGTTTTTCAGCTTTTTTTTTTTCTATATCCCAATCGACAAACCAAACGATGGATAAATAAAGTACCACTTTACAGGTTTTTTTTTTTTTTTTTTTTTTTTTTTTTTTTTTATTTAAAATGGGGAATTAACCCCCAAAAAACTTCCCTTTTAGGGCGAATAACCAAACCACCCCTTTTC